AATCCATGTATCCGGGCCACAAGCGTCTAACTAGGGCCCGACTAACACCGATGCATGAGGTCCATCCCTTTCGGGTTCATGGAGTCCACCGCCCAGTTGTAAATCCCAGAGGCCCGGAAGGGCCATTTGAAAACTCCAGTGGCCAAGTAGAATCAATTAAAAAAAATTATATTTAATTGATTACTATTTAATCTTAAATTAAATCTATTATAAACTTGGTAGACTCTTTAACATAAGCTCAAAACCTAACACAATAAATTCATCTTGATGATTCCAACATAGAAGAGATTTGATTCTTAATAGAACCCATAAAGGCTACAAATAGAACCGAACATTGTCAAATCAAGAGAAGTTTATAAACAAATATACCCAACGGAATTTACTACCCATGGAGGCGAGGCAATGCAAGATGAATCTCAATAAATGTCGATACTTGGTTATGTTTGTTTTTAAATTTTCGATAAAACCAGAACCAACAGAAAAAACATTGAGAAAACACATTTCCATAGAGATTTCAATTGTTTATATGAGAAAAAATGATACTATTTGAAAAACAAAAGTTTCAATTGTGCAATTTTTTGTTTCCATGTTAAAATTTAAAGTCAATTAAATTGAGAAGTATTTAAAGCCAATTTCTCTCAACGTCTCGGCATAGTTCTCTCTCTCATATTACGCTCTTGTCACTTCTGATTTTTGTTGATGGAGGTGTTGTCTAGGTCCCCTTGGGGTTCTACCCCTAAACAAAACTTCATAGAGAAAGAGGCAGCAAATGAGCTTTCCCGGCTCTTTGCGACACTGTCTGAGACAAGGGGATGTATTTAGTTTAACATATGCATAGAATTTGAGTTTTAGATGATTTTAATGATTTGGTGTGATTATAAAAAATTGTTATTAAATTATCTATTGAGTTTGTTATCAAGAACAATGGAGGAATCAGCAAATCAAGACTTAAGAAATTACTATTTTCAATAGGCTATGAAAAATTGTTATATGTATAAGTATATGAAATTCTAAATTCAATAATCTAAACTTCATATGTTATATATAAATCAAGATTTGTAAAATTTTACAAACAACCAGTTTTAACGTTTGACCCATTTTTGTACTTAGTGAGTTTAGCCGGATATTCTCGTTCATCGTGTTCCTTCTCTTTATTAGCTGGGATTACCATACTGAGCTCAGCATCTCTTGAGCAAACCCGACTAAGTTTGGGATTACCATATTAGCTGGGATTACCATACTCAGCTCATCTCTGAAGATGACAACGAGCAAAGGCTGGTCTCGTCCAAGAGAAATCGGGAAGAGAAAGTTTAAAATTTAATCTGGAGATTCGAAAAGTCAAGCAAAAGGATAATAAATCAAAACAGAGAGATTTGAAACGTTTCACTAAGTTAAGTTACAAAGCTTCGTCTCTACAAAAAGATAGATATATTTAGTTGTGGAAGAGGAAGTCAAGGCCTAACTCCTAAATCGAGAGAGTCTTTCTCCAGAAAATTAATTGACAAGTTAGAAATTAGGTTTTGTTTTTTCGTTTACCTCCTCAGGATAGGTAATCGGTGGAATCGATACCACCTCTAGGATCTTCCTCGCGGTTTCCACTTCCTCTTCTGCTTTACCGAATTTGAAAGGATGATGTTCAGGACCAATAGGTGCCTCCGGCGACCAGTACCACACAAACACAAAGAAGACAAGCAAGGCCAGCATCCGTCCAAGCTCGATCACCGCCTCCGTCTCTGTGAAACCTCGTCTTGGGGTGAAACCTCGAGGCCAAAAGGTGACAAAATCCATGATCCGGTTCCCAGCAGCCCATTTCCGGTAGTGGCGACCAAGTTTCGGGAACTCTCGAGCCAAGGACGCAAGGATTCGCGCAAAGAACTGGGCTAAAAGGTTTTTCCCTTCTGCGTCTAAGCTTGTGATAAGTTATTTTTAAAGAAAAAAAAAACCACAAAAGGAAATAAGATTAAAACACACAAACACACGAATAAGGATCAATATTGAAAGAGTCAAGCTGTAAGAAATCCTGTTTGAAAGAGTCAAACACACATAGATTTACCTTCTTTGCTCAAGAAATCGTGAGAAGAACCTGATGTTTTGCGCAGAAGCATTTCCAGAATCGAGGAAGGAGAATCTGGAAAGTGAGGTCAGCGATGGAGACTGAGTCTTCTTCTTCGTGATTCCAGTGACGGCCAAATTACGAGACGCATTTTGCGATCTCCAGAAAACAATTCGCCACATTTCTCCTTACTCTCTGCTAAAGACTCTGATTCTAAACCCAAACCCTAATCTCGGATTCTCTCGAGAAAGAGAGAGTTTTTGAGCTGGTTCTACTTCGTTTGTACGGAAAAGCGATATATATGAAAAAAAGTTTCTTTTTTTAAAATGAAAACTAAAAAATTGCCTGAGAAAAAGTTATTGTAAATTGCCTGAAAAATAAAGGGAAATGCAAAATACCAATTGTTCTCATTCTTGTTTGTTCTCTTTTGGTATTTTGTAAATGTTTCTAAAATTGTAAATGGATTTTTGTTCAAAAAATTAGTAGGTTTTAAAAATACCCTTTTACAAAGTTATTGCAAATTCCCAATGTAAGGGATGTTAATGCAAAATACCAATTGTTCTTTTCTAATTATTACAAAATTATTGCAAATTCCCATTGTAATCATTTCTAAGTTATTGTATTAATAACGGTGTGTAATTTGTTCTCTTTTGGTGCTTTGTTTCATTTGACAAAGTTATTTCAAATGTGTGTGTTATTAGTTATTTCTTTTATTACAAAGATAATCTATAAAGATTTTATTACAAAGATCATTCATTCATAAAGCAGAAATCAAAGGCTATGTCAATAGGATGAGCAAAGAGGAAGCTTGTGTGTTTCTTGATTCTTCGACGATGCCACAATTCATAAGTTGGTCTTTTCCCATCTCTCAAGTCTCAGTAATTTGGGTAATGATCAACTCCGGGACATGCATCTCGGGTAATACCGGAAAATTATAATTTTATGGTCAGAGATGTGCTTATCAAACCCATTGAAAATACTCTCTCTACATATGAAGCAAATAACCAAAGTCTAAAGCATTTTCTTGTGCGACAAGAAATCCCCTACTTCTCTAGGAACCAAGAGGTAAAGCTTTCCTGTAAACTTGTAAATATTTGATAACCAATGATGAAAGCATTCTCAGCAATTGTTCAGTGTCACCAGTCTCCATCAAGCAAGCCTTCTGCAGCCGCAATATGCTCGGTGTCAACAGATGTACACTCCCTCCAGAAGGGATTAATTTCTGAACATGAATTTTTCTTGCAATCATCCCAGACGCCACCTTTAAGAAAATACAACAGAAGAGAGAGCCAAAGATCCTTTGCGGATAAAATCCCAACCCAAATCCTCAACCACCTGATCAGGTACTGCATGGAGCTGATTTAAAACAACCATCAGCATGTTTCTCAACTCGATATTCTTACCAACAATAACGGATTCATCTATAAGCAAATGACAGGTGTCTCGATGGGATCCACAGTGCTAGATATGTCCAAATTCTGGTAATTAACTGATACTAGCTTTCGATCTCGTAACGGGTGGTTGATCATTTGGTTCTATGGAACACAGCGAACGGCTACCCTCAGAAATCAATTATTTATTATAGATATTATCTCTAAATCGCTATATCAACCCTACTAAACATAAAAAGCAACCCTATTGATGGGGAAAATACTAAAATTTTATAAAACTTGATTTATATATAATATATGAAGTTTAAATTTATTGAATTTGGAATGTTATATACATTACATATAATAATTTTTCCATGGTCTATTGAAAACATTAATTTCTTAAATCTTGATTTAATGATTGCTCCATTGTTCTTGATAACAAATTTAGCAGAAAATTAGTAACAGTTTCCATTGTTCTTCCATTGTTCTATAACAAATTTAGCAGAGAATTTAATAACAATTTTCTACAATCACACCAGGATTACGAGGAGCGCGGTCACTCGCAGCCTGCATCGGTGTGAATGTCTGTCTAGGGGTGGTATCGAAGAACCCTTATTCGTGATGTACATCAAAAAACGGTTTTAACCCATCTCGCCGAGCTTCTTCAGACAAGTCATTCAACATCTCTTTAGCAAACCCAATTGTCGCATCCTTTTTGCTGAAGTTGCTTATCAGAGCTTCAAGGTGTTTGCCATTTACTTCGCTCAGACTACAGTTAAAAGCATAACCATGAGTAATTATTTTTGACAAGCAAGACAAACTTTGAGGCACCCAAACTTCATGAACATAATCAAATCCGGATCAATTGTTTCCAATGTTTGTAGATCTCGTAATTAAGATCTTGAAGTCGTGGCTATTGCCTTCGAGAAACTTTATTGGCAACATTAGGGAGAAATTGAAGAAGCCCAATTCCTCATTTTGGGTTGGGTTTTGAGACTTGCAAAGGTTGTAATTGCGCATGTGTTGGTTTTTTCTGGTTGAGTCTTAATCGCGAACCGGATTAGGACAGTACTTCCTTCTCAGTTCTTTCACGCCTAATGACAGTAAATGAATCCACCATTAAATTAAATTCATGTGACAGACACATACAACGAAGCTTGTTTACTGTTTTATGGTTTTCTGCAT